GTTGATGTTCCTCTTGACGCTGGCGAGATTCAGGTTGGCACTGTCGACAAGTATGTCGAGGGTGTTGTCAGGGGTACCACCACTGGTATCTAAACAAGTGTTCACATAGCATTGACTTCATCGACTTGAAAATGACTATTTCTAGCGATTCCCATCTGAAAATAGATAATGAGTACAATTTGCTGTTTCGAGACATGACACCAGATTAAGCATGTGTGACAATCTTCGATATCGGCTCTGCCTGATACTTTCAACGCTGGTCTGCTCCTCATCATTATCGCTGACCTCTCATCGGCACTTCATATTGCCTACTTCCGGTCGCGGACTGCCAAAGCAGGTGCGATTATGTCATACTGATTGAACGATATTGTGACGAATAGGTAAAAGCAGTAGCCCGGCTTGTGATCGTTTTCACATGAAAGATCGAGCGAACGCGCGTTGCTGGCGTGCAAGTGCGCCTTCGCGTGGTCCAGTACCCACAGACAAAGGCCCGTCTTCGGCTTCAGCTTTTGATAACACGCATACTAGCTCTCCTCATCATGTTCATTATTAACAGTTCGCGCAGAGATCTGTTGAATCGCGGAATTGGTTACGGAGCTGCAGCGCTGCTTTGTGTTCCGTACGGGACGATACGTGAGGTCACACTGCGGGAGCGGACCGTTGAAGAAGCAGCTTACTCACTCACCGCTGGGTCTAGATCTCTGAAGCAATTTCGTTGTGCTCTTTTGTATATGCTCCTTGTCTTCATGCGTTACATTCGCATCGGTCTTTATCGTCCCTGTCAAGACCTGGAACTCTGGCCAAAAAGCATATTACATTGTATAGCCACAGTCAACTTTCGCAGCAATCTGAGTTGTGGTATGTAGTACACGTGATCGTGGGGGTTTTCGCGCTAGCAGCCCCCGAATACCGGTAGTGCCGACGCGAGGGCATCCTCTACCAGTTTCCCAATTCCCTTGTTATAGCAACAGTGGTTTTGTAGCAATGATGCAATCTCCAGAAGAATACCTGGGCATTATGCCTTCTAGCTGCATAAACACCATTTTATCAATGGGTGAGCTTTGCCAGGAACAGCAGCTTCCACGCTTCCTCGCCTCTTTCCATGGCTTCAACGCTGGCTCCTGGTACGTCCTCCATGCGTACCATGGATGCTCAATAGTAAGCCTTCCTTAGTATTTTAATCACGGCATCATTCACCTCTCGTAGAGCTATTCGAGACTGTCATGGCGCATAGCTCGTGCATGTTCGATCATCTTGCCGCGATAACAATCGTGCTCCCTGAAGGTCTACATTTAAGCCTTCTTGACTCGCAGCTCATTCCAGCTCCTTTGATTTCCCATCCCCTCGTCAATCGTTCAGGAGCAACATTTGTCCATCATGACAAGCTGTTCGCTCTACGCCAGCGGCCTTGTGCCGGATGTAAATGGCGCAGTTCCTACATTTAGCTATCGCCGTGATGGCCACTCGAACGACTACTTCGGTGTTCAGATGACCTATCTGAGAGGACAGTCTACTTGCTACCAGACGGGTGTTAAGCCTAGCTTCACTCCTGTTGTTCAAAACACAGCTGCGCGTTTCAGCGCCAATTGTGAGTTCGGTATCCAACCCTCCGGGTATACCGGCATCTTTTGTCCGGCTGTGCCGGTCACCAACATTCCTGACGGCGTCTTCACTGTTTCGTACATCAACTTGGCCCAGGGCCTGCCTACACCAATTCCGTTTTTGGCTACCTTTGGTCCGTCTCCTGCTCCCAGAGCAGTGACCGCGACTGCTGGAGCCGTTACTACGTCCACCTCTACTTCAACATCTACTGTTGCTCCTGGCTTCGCTTCTACTGCTACCGTGTTCGCCGCCGCATCGACTCAGACCTTCACCAACACAATCATTGTTACTCAGACCAAGACCAATACCAATACAAACTATGTCAGCTCCTGCGCCGTGGCTTCATCGGCCACAAGCTCTGCAAGGTCTTCGTCCAGCTCGTCCACAAGCCCATCCAGCTCATCTGCCCGGCCCTCATCCAGCACTTCTGCTTCTTCCAGCACACCCAGTGCTCTGCCGACACCTAGTGGCATCTCCAACAGCTGCCCAGCAGACAACGGCAAATTTGTATACACTTCTGCAGGTACATTCGAAATAGCTTGCAGCTACGACCGCGGAGGCTCGACCTCAGGTCCGTTCCAACCAGGAAACGGCCTTCTAGGTTGCATCAACCTGTGTGCAGACACCAAGGAATGTATTTGGTCGACATACCACAGTTCCGACAAAGACTGTTACCTCAAGTTCGGCCAGGGTACTCCCAAATTCGACTCCACTGCATGGGGTGCAGCGCTACTCGGCGCGTCGTCATCGTCGACTCCGGTTCCCTCTACGTCAACTGCTATCAAGACTTCAGCATCGTCGCAGGCACCTCCCTCCTCGACCGCTGCATCTTCCACTGTAAAACCTTCATCCAGCTCTGTTCCGGCTCCCGCGCCCTCGTCAAGCTCACCTTCAAGTTCCTCGGCCAAACCTTCGTCCAGCTTTACCCCAGTTCAAGCACCTTCGTCAAGCAGTGCTGCCGTGTCTTCCACTCCTATAATGTCCCGCTCCTCGACTTCATCTCAGAGTTCCTCATCGAGCGCAACGACTTTGCCGAAGCCTGCAGCGTCCTCAAGCGCAGCCACCTCGTCAAGCACGGCTGCCTCGCCCAGCCCCGCATCCTCCTCAAGCCCTGGGACCACGTCCAAGCCTGCAGTATCTTCGAGCATGGCTTTTTCGTCGAGTGCTGCCGCTTCTTCAAGCCAGGACGCCTCATCTGGTGCTGCTTCGTCCGCATCAACTATCGCTGCGTCCACCAAAGCTTCCTCTTCGTCAGCTGCCTCGCCGACATTGACTGACTCAGCTGATACTAGACCGACTTGCCCTGGAGACAATGGCAAGACATTCACAACCGCAGCCGGTACGTTCGTGATCGAATGTTACGTCGATCGCTTCAACAACGACCTTGGTCCTGCGAGCTCGAACCCCACCGACTATGCTGGCTGTCTGAACGCGTGTGCTGCGACTTCTGGCTGCAAGGCTGTTTCATACGTACCTAACGGTGCTTGTTACCTAAAGAACGGCATTGGAGCTCCAAGCACCAATATCGGAATCTGGGGTGCCAGTCTCGTCTCTGGCGCAAGCTCTACTGGCCCTGGTGCTGCGAGCATGGCCTCCTCTGCAGCTACCTCCTCCGCTAGTACATCGACTCTCGCTAGCACCACTTCTACAGGTCCTGTTGCAACATCCTCTGTTGTTTGCCCTGGCAGCGACGGTCAGACAATTAGCACCCAGGCCGGAACATTCGTCGTCGAGTGTGGCATCGACCGCGCTGGTGGTGACATGGCTAACTCGCCAGTATATCCTGGCTCGTACGTGGGTTGTGTTGCAGCCTGCGCCAGTCGCGATAGCTGCGTCGACGTGTCTTATGTTCAGAACGGGCCTTGCTACCTCAAGAGCATCGCTGGCACTCCCAACCCGAATGCCAACATCATTGGTGGACGGTTGATCACTGTCACGTCGAGCTCCAGTTCAGTAGCGTCTTCGTCGGGTAAGACTTCATCCCCGACTCGCGTTTCCACCTCTTCTGGCGCTTCTGTCACCTCTCGTGCCTCATTATCAGTTGCAGCTACATCATTGGCTGCTACCTCGGGGCCTGCCGCACCAGTGCAGACTGTCACTGTTACGACCACAATCAGCGGGACAGGTTACCAATGTGCTTGCACACCAAGCGGTGGACTCGGCTCTGGAACAGCTTCTTCTGCCACTGCATCTGCGACTTCAGGTGCCCAACTGAACTGCCCAGCTTCCGATGGGTCAATTTTCACTAGCAGCTGCGGTGCTACATATCGCATTGAGTGCTACTCCGATCGCTACGGTGACGACAGTAATTATTTACTTTCGAGAGGTTGAACGTCCACCTGCTAATACATTCACAGTTCCGGGGGGTACATCGTACACCAACACACTTGATGAGTGTATCGCAGACTGCGACAAGACCAATGGATGTGTAGATGTCTCGTACATCCGAGGATCTCCTGGTCCTTGCTACAAGAAGAGCAGCGTCGCGGCGATCCAACGGAATGACAACGTTTTTGGCGCTCTCCAACTTACAGGTTGCACATCGAGCATCAAGCTCAAGCTCCACCGCAAGCGTGTTGTTCGGTCGCCCACAACGCCGAAGAAGATCATCCACAAGCGCGGGGTTTTCGGTCCTGACTTCACCTACACTCAGGGTACCACCACGGTCACCCAGACAACTACGTCGACCTCCGTCCACAACACAACCGTGTAAGTATTTCCTAACTCGACACAAGAAGCTGTTATTGACCAGTTCAAGCACCAGGACACCCACCAACGTTGGCACCACCACCAAGACTGTGTTCACGACAGCTTCTACCACCGCTACCGTCACCAATGGTGCTACCATCACGCAGACCACGCAAACCACTGTCACCACGTGTCCTGCTGTCACTAGTCGCACAATTCTATAGGTAGGGCCGCTATTTTCGATATCCGATTGTGTGAAGGTAGGTTAGATAGTAACAATTCGCTCCTTAAAGATCGATTAGATTCGGACAATTTGGCGAACGACCAAGTCCTGATGCTCGGTCCACTAATGTAATATCCTGTTTTGGAAAAGTTCAACTATGTCATTCCCTACCTCTCTCCTTCTGACTAGTTTACGACTATCAGCGTCTGTTGAGTCAGTGCAGCGTATGTGGAAGACAAAGCAGCACTAGCGCCGGTCACGGTTGCCTGCTCACAGAATCACCCGTGCCTCTCTTCTATCACCCACCTCGACTCTACCCTACCATGGCAAAATTGCACGCGTACAGGCTACCTACCAGTGTTCATTCCAAGAACTTCCCTGCGAGCTACGTGTCCATATCTACGAGTTCTTGATCGACTCGACCAAGCTTCACAAAGCCAAAGGGGCCAAAAAGGGCCTTATGATGTTCTATAAGACCATCAAAGCCGAGTTCGAAACGAAGTGGAAGAGGAAGGGCACGTGCCGGTACCTCAAATCTTGAACAGAGTATCCAGCTTCCCTCCGAGCTTGATGCGTCTAGCTAACATCGTGGTTTGCAAGCCGAAATACGCTTCGTTCGTGTCATGAAGGTAGTCGGTACGACCGCCTCGTTGAGCGCAGACAATTCCGTGTATCATTCATTCTCTTGCACTTGCACTTTCGAAATGCCCGAATGTGAAACTGACGCAGGAGAATGCGTTGGAGTTCTTGTACCTCATTACGGCCGTCACCCCAAAGTTTCTTCAGCTAATGGAAGCCGAAGACATGAAGACGATCTTCATCATAGGCTGGCGGAATGTCTTGTTGATGATAGGCGGCTTGTGGTGGATGAGTCGGAGAGCAAGAAGCGAAGGGCAGGCGATTCACGTTTGGTCGAGGAGACAGCAAGGCGGTGGAGAACTTGCGGATTTGTTGAATGAGATTGAAAGCGACGCCGGTCAAGATGAAGCAGGGAAACGGTTCTTTCGGAGACAGTAATTTTAGCATACTATCGTGGATCAGCTCACGTTCCGAGTTCGGTAGTCGTGTCAAGAGATCCATATATATCAAAGCGACGTTGCGGGCAACAACGTACGCGATCAAACAAGGCCAAGTAACGACTATATGGGCTAGATGCTCCGTCGCCTTGACATCACATCCCCGGTAACTCAACTTTAACTCTACACTTCTTCAACTGCGTATGTCTCCACTCTGCCCAGGAAAGCTTCGGGCTGCCCAGTGTGCCAGGGGGCCAATACGAGTTCAGCCAGTCAAGTTCCCGAACTTTTCTCCCGCACGACTACGCAGTGCGATCGAATCTTCTTCCACACGAGTGCTAGGCATACTCTTCAGATCGGGCTATGGCTTTGGAATCAGGATTGTAGAAGGGAGAGCTCGATTCGTCTGTCATATTTGCAGCGACTAGAACCGGCAGGAGCAAGAGCGATGCTGACAAAAAGGTTCGCTCATGATCAAAGGTGTATCGAGTAATGCGTTTTTATGAATTACGCTCTGCCCATAGGTCACGACCTGGGTTAATGGCTGACTGATAATTACCTTTCGCGTCGAGGCTGTAAGTCTCGAAGCTGTGAGTCTCGATTCTCTCGAAGCTATGCGCGTGATGCGTCATTTTGGCCTGATGGAACGACCTGGATCTGCATGCGAGAATCTCATGACATCGAGATTCGAGATTCGTTCTGGAGGTCAGTGCGTTTCAGGTGCGGGCGGCTGGCACTGGTCGTCATCGCTGAAGGCTATTAGGAACTAGATCTCAAATTGTAGTCATCTTTACGTTATTGCCTTAACGAGAAAATAACAGTAGCCTTCATGGCGATTGGTCGCCAAACGTTTGGTGCATTGTTAGGGCATCGGGACCACTCAGGACATCGAGATGTCTGATTAGGTACGGAACTAGACAGCGGCTGAATCTGCAGTGGAGATTAGACATCAGCAGCTCATCGCGAGATGTCGATCATACTAATTTTTGAGCTTATCACACGGATAGACGAAGAAGTCAGGAGCATTTTGTTGTGACAAGCAAGCCCTGCAAATCTTTCAAATGAGCCATGGAATGTCGTGTTGCTGGAGGAGAGAAGTCTTCACAACGCATGAGCAGGCGTTAGCATAGCGAATGGCCAAAAGGTAGATTAAAACGTGAATTTCATGATTGTCCATCATGAAACGTGAACATTACGTACATTACTATTTAAGCGAGTGCAGCCTACAACTTTCGATCTCATCAAGAAATCAGCTGCCGCCAAGTTGCTGGGCAGTCACACCCGCATCCTGTCGTCGACCAAATACAGCAGGAAGCAAAGCCCTTCTTCGTGTTATTACGACCAACCCAGTACATCACGGACGACCATCTAGTGAACGGAAGCCTGGCGGGTGTTCCTCTCGGTGTCGACGTAGATCGCATCACCCTCCTTCATCGCGGCTCCACCCTTGGCGAGAGAAGCCTCGGCGAAGGTGTGAGTGGGCTTCCACTTGGCGGAGGTACGAGGAGTGGTCTCAGCCATCATCTGGTCGACCTGCTCGAGAGACAGACCCTTGGTCTCAGGGACAAGGAAGTAGGTGTAGACAAAAGCAATTGTGCAAAGTCCACCCCAGATAAAGAAGACGGAAGAGCGGAGGTTACCCTCATCAACACCGACCATGTAGGGGGTGATAACAGCGATAATGGTGTTCCAGAGCCAGTTGGAGGCGGTGGACAGGGCAACACCACGCGAACGAATGGTAAGGGGGAACACCTCACCAATGAGAACCCAGGCGCCAGGGCCCCAGGTGGTAGCGAAGAAGAAGATAAAGATGGCGATGAAGGCAATCTGAGCGTTGACGGCAGAGATGTTATTGGCGCGGGTGCTGCCGTCAGCCAGGGTAGAGGAGTTGTTGAATCCCTGGGTGACACCGATAATGGCAGTCAAAAACTGGCAGATCAACATGCCGAAGGCACCATACAACAGAAGAGTGCGGCGACCGAACTTCTCCATTCCGTAGAACGAGAGGGGAGTAGAGCAGACATTGACAAGGGTGAAGATCAAGGAGATCAAGAATGTGTTGCTGATAGCGCCAGTCGACTGCAGGAAAGGTGTGGAGTAGTAGAAGATGAAGTTGACACCGGTCCACTGCTGCATCATCTGGAGGGAGGTACCGAGGATAGTCTTACGGAGGTTGGAGTTGGACTGGAAGACAGATCCCTTGAAGCAGTTGGCCCAGCCGGACAACCAGCCACCGGCGGGGGTAAGCTCGCGCTCGTACTCCTCGTTGGCGATGATTTCAGCAAGCTCGTACTCGACCATGGCACGGAAAGGGGCAGCATCATCGCGAGTGGGGTGAACGCCACGAACCTTCATCAAAGCGGACCTGGCCTTCTCGGTCTTGCCGCGCTTGATGAAGTAACGGGGAGAGTCGGGCAGGCAGGCAATACCACCACCAAGGATGAGACCCCAGGCAAACTGGATGCCAATAGGAATGCGGTACTCGCCAGTGTCGCCACGGCCCTGAACGGCGTAGTTGACGCAGGCAGCAAGAAGGAGACCGATAGTGATGCAGAACTGGTAACCAGATACAAGCGCACCACGGACCTTCTTGGGGCAGATCTCGGACATGTAGAGAATGACAATGGCAGACTCGAAACCGACACCGATACCAGCAACAGCACGGCCAACGACAAGGAGGTCACGACCGCTCGCAGCCATCTGGAGAACCACACCTGTGAGGAACTTAGTGACATGGGATTTTGAGAAAGTACAGAGAGTGCACTCACCAATAATGTAGATAGCGCAACCGATGACGATGGTCCACTTGCGACCAATGATGTCGGAAACATCACCAGCGATGAGAGCACCGAAGAAGGTACCAGCGGAGAGAATAGAGACGATGAGCGAGGTATTACCGGAGGTAATGGCGCAACCACTGGGAGTGGCAAGACCCTGGGGACAGACGGGACCCTCAACCTCCTCGATGAAGAGAGGGGAGTTGAGAACACCGTTGACGTAACCGGAGTCGTAACTTGAAGAACATGATCAGCACGCGTTACAACTTGCAGGCGAACCTAATGCTTACCCGAAAAAGATACCTCCAAAGGAAGCGAAGGCGCAAAGAAGGTAGGCCTTCCATGTGACAGGCGCTTCAGTCATGTTGACATCGGCGGTAGCTTGAAGAGACGCCTTGCGGCCAGTCTCCGCCTCGTAGAGGGGCTTCTCGTTGTTCATACTGGCGGCTGAGTGAAGGTTGAACACTGTGTATAAAGTGCTGTGCTGCCTCAGCGTAGTGGTGGTGGTGTTGGAGATCGCACAGAGCGGACAAAGAGCAAGGTTGAAACCGGGGGTCACGTCGAGGTTAATAAACAAAGCTGGAGATTTGAGATCGGTGCCCCATACGCTGCAAGCGTAGCTTCGAGGATGGGCGCTTAGCCGGAACAAGTAAGAGTGCCTCCATTGTCGCGGCTAGCACCCGGGGTCGGGGACAGAGCGGTCGGGTGATTGTCTCAAATCGAGAGGGCCTTCCACGCTACCAAGCCGCATGTCATCAGCGCCGAGCCTAACATGCACAAATCATTGAGCGCTAAGCACAATCACTCGATCGGCCTGACCTTGGGCGCTCTCACGTGCACACCCGCCCAGAACGATCATTGTGGGGTAACTTCTTAGGCGTCATGCTTGATCTTGCTGTGGCCGCAAGCAGCACAGCACACCACGAGCCTGTTCACGACACCGTTCAGCACGCGATGCTCGGCGACCTCCAGGTGCAACAATAATGGACCCTTGTCATGTGCACCCCGTGGGCGTTTCTCCAGCTCTGCTCCACCTCCATTCGAACCACTCATCTTGCAGAACCTGGGCGTTATGGGGATGCTGACTATCGACTGGAAAACACTTCACTGGTCCGTGCACTGGTCCGTGCGCGGTCTCTCATTGGCTAGGCCTTCGGGACGCTCCGAGGCCCACGCAATTTCCAGTCTTTTCATGGGATGTCGGACCGGCAGTTGCTGTTCGTCGTTTCGTCGTTGGCACGGAATCACAGACTGGAATTGCTTCGTTCCAGAACGCAAAATTTGCTCATGGCGCAGACAGTACGATCGCAACTCACGATACTCCAAAGCTGCCAGCCTTGCCACAGCACACAGCACATCACCTTCGCATCCCCCTTTTCAGGCACACATAGATAACGATGCACGAACGATGCCAGAGGTCTTCAGGCTCCCCACTGCGACTCGATAGCTAGCAAGGATGCTGCAGAGGTGTTGGTAACGCTGATTCGCCGCGTGTGACCTCCACCTGCACCCCAGTTATGTGACAAGAGAGAGAAGACGCTAGCTGTGACGGTGCATAGCTAAACCTCACGTTTGGAATTTCTACGGTCTACATGTTGGACTAGCTCGTTCCAGACACAGTCCTCCGAAAGGTCGTACCAAGAGTGCCATGCTCCAATGAGCCAAGAGCGCCACGTTCACGGATAAGTACTGGAACGGAAACTGGAACACAGCAGAGCCGCACCGCAGAGCCGCACCGCACCTTGCAAGCGTCTTACGTATTACGAAGAGGCTCGTAGGCAACCCCGGTGCTTGAACATGCACCGAGGCCCAGCGAGACCGCGCGAGACCATGCGAGGGATCGGGTCGGGGAAAATCCTGGAGTTTCCGGAGTTTCCCCGATTTCCAGGATTCACGCCACGAGTCTCGGTCAGTCGAGATGGGGTGAAAAATTGTCATGCACGAGATCAAAATTTCCTGAATGACTCGGCTCGGTGGGAAAAGCTGGTTGCCCTCTCAAATATACTGATGCATCTGTAGCAACCATCTTCGGTGCACTCATCTCATGACTGACATTTGACATGTGAGTATCACAAAATGTTATTCCCTAAACACCGAGTCGACGCTGTCCCACTGTGGTGCGGCACAATGATTCTCAGGCGTCCAGATGCACTAACGGCGCAACAACGAGCGAATCGCGTATGTACGTACCGCTGCATGTGTTTCAGGCACACGACTCCGATATCCGGCAGCCTTCCCCGCGACGTGAATCTGGCCCTACGAGCCCGGCAGCACGGCACGACAGTGAACGAATAGCAGTGGCAGATAAGCACCGTACATGCGTCTTATGTAGGTAGGTATAAGTGACATTGGCGTGCGTGCGCGAGCTCAAACGCGCGAGCAACCCGCGCCCATGGAGAGGAAATCAATGTTGCCCCAGCCTTAAGTAGAGTGCGGGGGATCTCCAAATTCTAACTAGCGATCTAAGGTGATACAATCGACGAGCGCCATCGCGGTCAGCGGTAAGCGACATTGGCACTGGAATTGGGCTTTGATGCATCTTACGGGCGACCGAAGTACCGACATTCGGCGAATCGGTGATGAAGCTTTGCCGTATTCTCACTTCGTAGTTTCTCACTTCACTCAACCTGCGGCGAAGCCCAGATCAGGAAGTGAGAAGACATTTATGCAGCACTTTCACACTTTCGCGCAAGGATTCAGCCTGTTGCACTCTTTCATCAAAGTCACTATTGCGTTCACTCCTACCCCCTGTCTTGTACCTCTGGTCACAGCTGTTTCTGACATTGTAGGATTGCTCTTTCTTTCGTATCGACCACCGTCTTGCACCTGCGTTCACACCATCTTCATCCTCCACCGCCTTTGGGTCTTGCCGATTGGCATGCACCGCGAGTTGGAAATTTAGCGCACACATAGCACACCGAAATCATCCATAACTCAACTGAATGCAACATGCATGTAGGGTCGCTGCAGTAGCTCTAGTCATCTCGATGCGAGGCTTCGTGAACGAGTCTTAATTTCGCAAGTCAGAGAGCGACTGTATTAAGACTTCTTTTGACGTTAGCTACCATTCTCTCTTTTACAGGTCCAGATCTTGTATTTCAGGGTAATTGCCTCACAGTAGGAGGTCAACATCTGTTGCAACACTCATATCCGGAGCTTCTCGCCTCTGTCGAAAAAGGAGGTTCCGGTCTGGTTTGAATACTGAATTCGTACAGCCTATTCTCATGCCTACGTCAGAGACAATTTCACCCTTGCAGTACACGTCAGACGGTCAGAGACCGCCTTTATCTCATGTTCGGCTGTACTTTCGACAGACCCTTGCACAGCCGATCGACTCCACACCTCTTGAACTCGGTCACCGATGCGGGGACATCCTGACTCCCATAGCGCTTCAAGACGCTCAAGTACTTCTCGTTGCCACAGTCAATGAGGTAGTGAGTGAACCTGGATAGAGGTACTACGCGACAGATGTCTCCATCTCGACGATACTTGAAGAGAGGATTTGAGCGACGATGAAAAGCACCTAGCGGCGCAGACTTTTGTAATGAGAATCGCGTCAGCGCCTGCAGCCTAATCGACTTTAACGAAACAGGTCTGTACGAGATGGACGGACAAGATGGAGTGACGAGGCAGAAAGACGCAAACTAGATTGTCAAAGCTGAGTTGCACGCCACCGGTTGGGCGCTATATAAGATAAACGGAAGCGCGTGGAGATCAGCAGAGGGTGAGCCAGCCTGAAGAGCATGCATCAAGAATCACAATGGAAAGAGTGAGGCTAGTAGAATTGCCGAAAAGAGCAAGAAGCGCTGCAGCAGCATGAGTGATCAGCGTGCTCGCATTACTGTAGGGGTAGCCCCTGCTGGAATACTCTCTGGCTGTATGTTAAAGACTTGATGGGGTGCTTGTATGATGATCGTCTTCGAGTCTGAGACAGCGCTGCTATGGGGTTTGTGCTCCTGGGCTACTGCCCTCTGATATGCGCCCAACATGTTCAGGATATGATATTAGTGTCGATACGATCTTAGCTTGATAGGGTTTAGGGAGCGTGATACAGCGATATGATTTCAAATTTGATATGGTCTTACAATCGTGTCTTGAGCGAGTACCCTGGTGTTGGCATTATGGGGCTAATCCCTCCCATGTCCCCCCTTGCCTTCGAGGCGCGACACATCTGACAGTTCTCCATGCACCAACCTCACAAGCTTCAGTTCTGCCAGAGTTCAGTCCATGCCCCACTCTACCTTCAGAGCATCGACGATCCATGCCGTGCGCCACGCATGCATGTTCTCGAAAGTCCTCAGCATGCGCACGATTTCCTGTCGCTCGGCGGAACTTGTTATGATCGGACCCCATATGAACAACGTGTGGCAGAGGACAATGAGAAGCTGGGCGTTCTGCATGGAGGACTTGCACGCGGAGCATATGGCACGGGCGTGCTGGAGGATCTCGTGCTGGGAGTTCTCAGTTTCCTGAACACGCGACATGCCGAAGCAGAGGCTGATCAGAGTGGTGAAATGGTGGACTTACGTCGGTCGAAGAGAGCTTCGAACGGACCCATTGTGTGCGAAATTTTGATTTGGGTCCGTACCTCAGAAGGAGGATGGAGGCAAAGTGGTGGAAGACGTAGGATATGACTTGACTAGTTCAGTACACCTTTTTTCGCGCGGCAAAGTTAGTGAAAAGTACTCACCGTGCCAGTCCGCCGTGAACCAAATGTCGTCGAATACATGCTCGTCCTGCGTCGGTCCACCCCCAATAGCATCAAAGGCCTTCGGCCTATCCTTCTGCCAGGACTCATTCCTGTCCCATAGCTCCTGCCACGCCGCAGCTCTCGTCACGGCATCATCTCTCATCTTCGGAACAGAGAAGCAGAAGTTAGCTACACACGCTGTGTTCCAGAGGAGCTGGTTAGCCCATGCGGTCTCCCTACACAGCCATGCTAGCGGATGCGGTTCTATGAGCGAGTCTGGCGCAGGTAGGAGCTGCAACGAGAAGTCGATGTCTAGCGGCTCTTGGCTGATGGTAGAGTTGTATAAGCATTGACGTACGTAGACCCAGAACGCTGCGTCACGGAGGGAAGATGCCGAGGGGTCGATGAAAGGTGTTGGCATTGAGGCGCGCAGGATGCTCGATGTGCCTTTGAGGTGGGGCTTGTCGCGTGGGCAGTTATGAGTTGGTGCTGCAAGTGATCAGTGAGTGTCTCCGTTGTTAGATCAGGATCCAGGCTTATGACATACAATCTAGCTGATCCGCAAAGTGCAGCAACAGCACAGCCGAGAGCAGCATCTCATCGAAGTGTGCCGGAATCTCGCTCAAGCGATCGACCAGCAGCGATATGGCACGCTCGTACGCCTCCTCACCTTGATCATTCTTTCCCTGGTGTCTTGCAGAGAAGCACAGGACAGCATTGCCCAAAATCGAACACTCTCCAGCCTTCTCGGACACAGCGAGGGTGGATATCCTCGCGGCATTGGTGCAGTCTAGCCAGCGTCCAAGATGACGTGTGAAGTGGTGGAACAGCTGCGCCTCGTCGCGAGTGTGAGCGATAGGCATGTGTGGTTGGCAGGCAGTTGGCCTGTGGAGTACCACGGTACAAAGTCCCGTGCCGGTCAGTGCTGGCGATGGAATCGGGGAGAGGTGTGTGGAAGGCTGCACGAAGGCTCCGACGAGCGATGCATGTGATGAGCCCAAGGCATGGACTGCGTCTTGCTCGTGTCGTGGTGTTGAATTTGTTGTTTTCGTAATAATATGGTGGACAAGAGATGCAATGACATCGTCACGGAGCAGTTGTCCGAGGGCCAATCAAGTTTGAGGTGAAGAAAGGTTGTCTCGAATCGAGTTACTGCTTGAAGCCTGACTTAGCCAGCACCTAGACTCTCGGAAAGCCGGCCAATAAACCTATAACACTTTGTACACTGCAGAAATTTTATCTGATGAAGGCCTGAGACGGCGCTGAAGAGAGCTTTCGACCCAAGCAAAGAAGGGCAATATCTCCCATACTAGAGTCCTGTGGTCGAGCGGCAACCATCCTCCTGGCTTGGCAGGTGATTCGTAGTGTACAAGAAATATCGTACAATCAGTCTCCAGTTGGCAAGTCCTTTCCCGGCGTTCTTTTCACCTGGTCCTGAGCGACACAGCCCGATCCGACACCAACCACATATTCTGTGCATGCCCCTCATATTCTGTGCGTACCCCTTATATCCTCATGCCCTTGCTCCTCATCACATTGATAGTGCTGTGACCCGTGTAGTTCACCCACTCGCCCAACTTGCTCATGAAGCCTCCCACGGACTGTAGGTCCTGTAGCCTGTTGTCTAGGAACTGCTCTGTCTCAACGAAGTCCTTCGATGCGTCCTGCGTCATGAACACCTCGGTCGCGGAATAGATGGTCGACAGTGTAGCGCGCTTGGTATACCAGCTCGTATCCACGCTCTGGTCGCCGGCGAGAAACCATATTTCGTCTGCGAGAGCCGCAAGTTCGTGGAGAGAGGGCGAGATATACGTCGGTTGTGCCATGACAGCTAATGCCTGAGCACGTCAGTATACCATCTTTGTCCTGTAATGTGGGGAGAAGGTACCTCCTGCCACCGATGCAGAATTGGCTCATTCGCTCTCAACCGCGCCAGCGCCAGAGATCTGACTTTGCTCCCTATCCCGATCGTCTTGCCCTCCTTGGCCTCTGGAAACTGCACCGAGTCTTTGAGCGCCAGCCGTTGTGTAACGAGGTGATAGTTGATCAGATCGAATACGCCTCGCGGGAACAGGTTCGTCGATGCATCCAGATAGCCTGCATCTCGTGCGCCCAGCTTCAGCGCATCGATCGTGAAGCCATGGTCTGGGACGTGTGTGTAGGCAGAAGACAGGATCTTGGTCTCGGCGGGCGGAAACGGCGGCGGCTGAGCGTAGTCGTACGAATGGTAGGCGCACCGTTGTCTGAAGGCTGGTGCCGACTTGGATGTGCTGGCGCGGAGTGTGCCGAGTATTGCGGCGGGTAGCCGTGTTGTTGCAGACATTGTGGTTGTGGTGCTGGAGTTTAGGGTGACCTGTGAAGGCGTGGAGTGATGTTGATCTCAGTGCACCGGCGGCTCATCGGGAGTCCGAGGCATGATGGATCTATTCATCTTCACTGCAAGGAGCAACAACAAGACATATGTGACTGTCTACAGGATAAACCGAACCTGATGTTCAGTATCTCGATATATAGAGTCATGTCACCTATCAATCAATGTTAAAGCACCCACGTGATGAACGCGTCGACGCGCTTCTCTCCACCGACGCGTGACGCCACCGCTATCGATCGTGTAAATCCGTGCTCGGGTTCGACGCTGCAGCCTGCACTCTTGAACTAGGTGACCGTCCGTCATCCCTTGTCCAGTTGCAGTCTGACATTGTGTAGACCTTTTAAATATCCCGATTGCGACCTCTTTACTCTAATTCCCCCACTTCGCTGAAAAGAATAGCACTGACGCGCTTTCCGTACTTTTGCGCTTACGCGATCGCACCAGATCTCTGGGTTCAACCCCCTGACAGACCTTGAGGACATCAAGATGGCGAAAGCAAAGAAGGCTGAAGTCAGTGACTATGAGCGCAAGAGACAGGAGAACATCGCGAAGACGCAGGCGCTACTGCGCAATCTGGAGATGGAGGCAGCGCAGGCCGGTCTCGGTAAAGCAGCATCGTCCACAAGACCGAAGCCGAAGAAGGCAGCTCCAGCGAAGAGGGTCAAGGTCGAGGACGTAGCGCCGCGACGGACGTCTTCGCGCCTCAAGGGCATCGAGGCAGACAGTGAGAAGGCTAAGCGCAAGGCCGAGGACGAATACGTCGCGATTAAGGAAGCCGACCGCGCAAAGAGGCAGCGCATCAGTGGCGCCTTCAATTTCGGCGACATCACGATTGTGGGCAAGACATGGGACCAGAGCGGGAACTTCCTCCGCATTGTCGGCCCTGCGAACCCTTACGAGCGCACCTTCGACTTCGACGACGCAAGCGACATTACGGATGAGGATGTGAAGGTGCTGAGGGAGCGGATAAGTGGGCTGCGGCTGTGGGAAGATTTCGAGCCCAATGAGATCAAAATCACACCAGAGCGCATCTACGCCATGGGTCTGCACCCTACCGAAGAGAAGCAACTCGTCTTTGCAGGCGACAAGCTGGGCAATCTTGGAATCTGTGATGCCTCGCAAAAGGCCGCAGAGGTCAAGGTCGAAGACGACGAGGACGCCGATGTAGAAGGACCCACCATCACCACCCTCAAGCCGCACACACGGACAATACACACTTTCCAATTCAGCCCGCACGACTCCAACGCCGTGTATTCCGCCTCCTACGACTCCTCGATACGGAAGCTTGATCTTGCAAAAGGTGTCGCTGTCGAAGTCTACGGCCCGCAGGACCCCAACGAAGACCAACCGCTCTCGGGCCTCGAGATCTCCAAAGACGATGCAAACGTGCTCTACTTCTCGACGCTCGACGGCCGCTTTGGCATGTACGATATGCGCACCGAAGTCAGGGACGCGCAGATCTTCCAGCTCAGCGACAAGAAAATTGGCGGCTTCAGTCTGCATCCCCAGCACCCGCACCTCGTGGCCACCGCGTCGCTCGATCGGACGTTGAAGATCTGGGATTTGCGAAAGATCACTGGTTCAGACGATGAGCGGGGCCCCGCGCTGGTGGGCGAGCACGAGAGTAGATTGAGCGTGAGCCACGCGGCGTGGAATTCAGTCGGTCAGGTTGCGACAGCTAGCTACGACGATACGGTGAAGATCTACGATTTCGGAGACTGTAAAGGCTGGAAGCCGGGCCACGAACTGTCGGAGCAGGAAATGAAGCCCAAGGTTATTGTGCCGCACAACAACCAGACTGGGCGGTGGGTCACGATGTTAGTCTCCCAGCCTCCCCCCCCCCCACCCCGCTCCTCAAGGTAATATTCGAGTGCGTGTGCTAAAATTGTGCAGATTACGCGCTCAATGGCAGCAGTTTCCTCAAGACAACATTCAACGGTTTTGCATCGGTAATATGAACCGCTTCGTCGATGTGTATACAGGCAAGGGCCAGCAGCTAGCGCAATTGGGCGGCGAGGGTATCACTGCTGTGCCTGCAGTAGCAAAGTTCCATCCCACGATGGACTGGATTGCTGCCGGAACCGCGTCTGGGAAACTGTGTCTGTGGATGTGAGCAGCGTTATGTGCTGGCGTTGTTGGCTACCGTGGATTCGTTAGTGTAGCGCTGTTGGACCCGGCTCTGAATGCATAGTACCGTGTTCCAATGGGTTCTGGCCTTTGGTTGTACGCAGTGCTACAAGTCTTACTGGCACATTCAGCTTCTATCGGTAGTCATGTTCTTTGAATTACGCATGAAGAACTGCCCATGCAGGTACGAGTATGGTCAGAGTGTCGGTCCTACTGTGAAATTTGTCCCGGATGTGTGAAAGACTACAGGTACAGTCCGATGCAGCCAGTGGTACTACACGCCTCGTTCCTGCTTTGCGTGGTCTTCCAAAGCCTCTGAAACGATTTTCGTAAGTGTAGCTTAAGTTGACGGCGTCTCAAGTGAAGAGGAATTGACTGCAGTTCAGTCCATCGTGCCTTCTTGTTGTGGAACAGCGTGTTGTCACGCTGGTACAGTCTTGCAGGCCCGGACGCAGATATCTAAGGGTCCTGTGTGTATGCAAGAACAATCAGTTGGACCACCGTGATCATGAGTGAGGTATCAAAATTGTTTCCTTGCCTAGTATGGTGAAGCGGAGAACGCAGTCATTGCATACTTCAAGGACTGACGTTATCTGCTCCTTCTCCTAAGCGTTAGGAAGTCCAAGGCAGAGATTTAGTGTACCACTAGTAGTAGGTTTTATAGGCATTAAGCCTAGATATTTGTAGACGCCTTACAGCGAGGTACCTTGAGCTGTATCGGCGCCTTTTAGCCTATCTGAAAGTTGTCAAGGTAACGCGGCAATGGCGATCACCAGATGATCACCAGATGATCACCAAGATGCACCAGGCGATTTCGAAAAGGGATAATACAACAGTCGGCATCAGATACCGTCATACACATCTACTGATGTCGGTAGAGCCGCTCTTTGCTCACAGACGCCACTGCACTGTTGCAGTACACACCTCAAGGCTTTATCGATCAGCACTTGCATACGACGTCACCTCACACCGTACCATGGCTCGCACGAGCGACACCGGCCACATCCCAGTGCTGGGGCACTATCACCGGTAGTGTCGAGTAGGTAATCGATGCAAATGCATCGTGAAAGCGGCGAGGGAGCGGGATCATAGCGTCGTAGAAGTGCTATTTTTGGCGCGCGCAGTCTGGGAAGGTCTCCGAATGAGGTTAAGGTTTGCGGCTGCGGCGCTGCAGAGCGGGGCTATACAAGCTTCGACATCACTCCAAGCTTCGAGAAACCATCTGCTCGACGCTGGGTTTCCGGGGGAACCGTGCTGAACTCTGGATACGGGATGGTGACGTCAGTACGAAGTTGAGGAATTCGCTCATTACGATCTGCTCGGCGTCTGAGTGCCGGGTTGCGCTGCAATCTGACACGAAAAGGCTATTGAAACCTCGTAAAAAGAGCAAGTAATGTGCCTCGCTTAGAGCTAGCAGCAGCCAAAGGCCAGTCCAATCGTGGTGTGCGATCGCCGGCCAATGAACACTCGGAGTTCTGTGAGACGGCGAACACGAGGCGATCAGCACTGTGTTCGTGAATTAGCTGCATTCGGAACGATTTAATGCAACGCTCCGCAGTACCGCTCCATACAAGCACCGTATTGCTAGCGGTGAGGTGCCGGTACTCAAGAGTAGGTAAGCTAGTTGACACGATGATGCTATGGCCGGATGGGGGCATTAGGCAGTTGAGCAACAATGTTGAGAGGCATGCTGCAGTGCAGTGTTGTAATCTCCCCACTCGAGAGTATAAATATGTGTAGCAGCCTCGCATTTGCATTCCCTCCAACTCATCAACCCCATCTACCCAAGCAATTTCGATACACTCGCTACATCCTTCACCATGAAGTACGCTCTCGCATTCGCAGGTCTCGTCGCTGGTGCTCTCGCCGGAGGAGAGTGCTACGCTCCTCCCCCAAAGTCACAGTCTTCGGGCTACTATGCTGCTGCCCCGGCGTCCTCTACCTACACTGCTCCTCAGTCGACGTCCACCTCCGCCCCCGGCACTGGTTACTTCGGTGTCATCGCTTCTCGTAGCGCGACTGACATCCACCTCCAGGCCGTGCAAGCTCGTGGAGGAAAGTTCTACATCGGTGCCGGCCCACCAACCAGCTTTTGCCCCGTTGAGAGTGTCGGCGCTTCTAGCTGCCCTTCCGGCAACTCTACCGTCTTCGCTGGCGGCGACAGGACGCTATCTCTCGGGACTGTTGTGCCCGGCGGCCAGCAAGTCTACGTCGCCCCTGACGGCGCGCTCAGCTACACCATCGCTCATTCTGCGTACATTCCCCCCGGCTCTTATGTCGACGATTTCAGCATCACTCCTGCCGCCAGCGCCAACACACTCGGGACCCTCAGCTTTGAGACTGGTTTCACTGCGTGCCCTGTTGGCGCCGCTGGTGCCGGTTACCAGGTGTACGGCCAGACTCAGAACTTCGAGGCCAGCTCTGATTGCATTGGCTTCACAGCCCAGACCAGTAAGCCGGCCCCTTCACCTCTTGATCGTGAGACGCTAACGCATTGCAGTTGCGGTCGACCACCCCGGTGCGTGGCAGTACTAGATATCCTGGATATTGCCAGGCTACGATTTATTGAGACCAAGTACTCTTTAATAATTAATGTAATTGGAATAAGGAAAGAGGATGAAGTCGCTGTACTTTAGACGTACATATAACCACTATTGAGCTCCGTTCAACAGTAAAGATTTTATTCGCTCGAGTTCTACAGTTGGTATGATGTTCAGGCCCATTCGGATTATGGCAGTCCTCTCCCGGCTTTTCAAGCCTTTCACAACTTCGATATCTGACTTTGGTACCTTCAGTGTGTTGTGGTGCAAGTCGGTCCTGTGGGCCTTGATCATCGCTCCTGTTGACTACCTTAGACTAGCAAGTCGCAGGGCATGTATATGTGCTCGCCTCCTAGCTAGCAAGCAACTGAGCGCAGTTTTTCATCGACTATACAGCGGTTGCGTCTGCCGCAATACAGTGTCTTCGCAATGACGGCCCTGACTGCTGCGTTCGCCCCCCCCCTTCTCTTGCTTGGGCTGCTACAGATATCGATGACCTTGTCGGACACAGCAGTGATGCCCTCCCTGTTGGCACTGGCTCCTGATTTGACATGGCAAAGGAGATGGATCGTTTCTTTTGCCGCTCGACCTTTGATGCCTTTGCCGGCTACAACCCTGATTGCGGACATTGTCAACCAGTAAACAGTGGGAGGCGAGACTGTCAGTTGTCCAAATCCTCGAGCTTCAGGATGACTTGGACTTCGAAGCAGCCCGGGTCGTTCGGCTGTAGGATCCGTGACGACTCGCGTCGTCAGGAGGTGCATCAGACAACAATCTGATCGTCAGCACTCAACCATCGACCCCTTGAAGGCTTCTGTAGTCGTTGGCCGCATGACGGGAAGCTTACATCCGGTCTGAGCTTGTGGAGACGGTCTCGTGATTTCGTGTTGGATAAGATAGCGGCTAAAGGAGCCCAAGACCGAGGGAAAGCGATTGGGCGCAGCCGAGCAACGATAGCAGGGCTCGTCGCACGTGCCAGCCAATCACGCAATAGGCGCTCGAGGCGGCCAGAGGAAGGAACAGCCTAATGTTGCGGGGGACAGCAACATTTATATGCAACTCCAAGCTATGGCTGCGATATCTTGTCGACGTTCCCGAGTACGAGACCTTTGAAGCACTGCCAGCAGCGCTGAAACCGCTTTCTTTCGAGCAGCTGCCCTTTCCGACATCGCGCCGGACCTGAAATGCCTAGTGGGGGATCTGAGAGAAAAGCGCGTCCCTCTCGACAGCTAAGTGATAAAATACGCGGACCTCATCCGTGAAGTACAGGTCTTGACGACGGTGGGAAAACTCGGGATGGTCAATAACGTAAGAATGCGGCTGGGCCAACAATCATAAATATCGCCAGCTGGCCTCCTTCTGCCAATCCATCTAACTCTCCGTGTTCACTTTCCTTGTCTCTGCACGTCAACGGTACATCAGTCCGCATTCAGCGTGTCCGCATACTGTGATTCACTCCCACCACATTCCAACAAAAGCGTTCCTTCTCTTACACTGTAAGTCTCCTGGTCTGACACTTCGCTGTCAACAACAGCTTCGCACCCCATCTGCTACCAAACTTCCTTGTCTTTGCGTGGCAGCGACGATTCCATCTCTTGTTGAGCCACTTGCACGTGACAACACCTAACACTGGTACAGCCTACAATGTCCGCCGCACCATCCATCCAGCCAAAGTTCCTGCCCAACCGCCGGGATGTTGGTGTTGTTGCAGTCGGTTTCAGTGGTGGCCAGGTAAGATTCCCTGTCTGCACCCGCGATAACTCAGCCTAACGCGTACAGCCCAAAGCGGGCGTCGATGCCGCACCGATGGCCCTCATTGAGGCCGGTCTAATCAAGGAGCTGGAAGGAGATCTCGACCTAAAGGTCGCTTTCGACGGCCAGGTTCATAACTACTCCGAGATGCTGCCATCAGAAGATCCGGATTACCGCGGCATGAAGAGGCCAAAATTCGTCAGCGCCGTCACAAAGGAAGTCAGCAATCAGGTATACAACTATGCAAAGGATGGCAAGCTCGTCCTGACACTTGGAGGTGATCACTCTATCGCCATGGGTACCATTTCTGGCACAGCAAAGGCTACGCGCGAGAGGCTGGGGCGCGAGATTGCTGTCATCTGGGTTGACGCCCATGCTGACATCAACACTCCTGAGACGTCGGACAGCGGCAATATCCACGGCATGCCTGTCGCCTTTCTCACGGGTCTCGCCAAGGAGGAACGCGATGACTGTTTTGGGTGGCTCAAGCCAGAGCACATGCTCAGCACCAAGAAACTTGTCTACATCGGTCTTCGTGACATCGACCGCGGCGAGAAGAAGATCCTGAGAGAGCACGGCATTAAGGCTTTCTCGATGCACGACGTTGACAGGTAAGTCTTGAATCTTGGATACGTGAAGCTTGAAAGCTGACAATCACACAGGCACGGCATTGGCAAGGTCATGGACATGGCGCTGGCCTGGATTGGCAGCGACACACCCATTCACCTGTCGTTCGACATCGACGCTCTCGACCCCATGTGGGCACCCAGCACAGGTACCGCCGTTCGTGGTGGCCTGACGCTGCGTGAGGGAGATTTCATTGCCGAGTGCGTCGCTGAGACTGGGTCTCTCATCGCGCTCGATCTTGTTGAGGTTAACCCCAGCCTTGATGAAGTAGGCGCCAGCGATACTATCCGTGCGGGTAACTCTATCATTCGTTGCGCTCTCGGTGATACCCTTTTGTAGGATTTCGGAGCCGCGTTTGTTGCAGTCGACTTTAGTCCTGCTACCCATTTCTAGATGTTTACCACAAGGTTAGATGGAATGTTTCACAGGCCTCAAGACGTTACGAATCAATGTAGATCTCTGTGTTCCACAATACCTGCCGCCATACTCAATCGTGATATTTATTCATCACTACCGTGAATCGGGCACAGCCTGAATCTACTGCAGTTTTGTATGACTGAGGAACAGTTGATTTCATCGTGACGCTTGGGTCAGGAGGGAACCTTGTTAATGCCGAGGCGCCAACAGCGCCGGATGTCGTCCGAGCACGCCGACGTACGTCATTGTTACTTCCGCTTACACCCGACCGGGGTCATGAAAGTTATCTGTAAGAAGGAGCTTTGGTAGCAAATCACTATATCCACAGCGTTGTTAATCTTGGTCGAATCATAATCCACAACCCAATTGCCCACCCGGACCGAGCATTGGACAACCATCATGGCGTTAAGGGTTCCTTCACACCAGCTGCCATCGAGTGTTCGACAGAAACTCGCCAGAAACTCGAATTACCCAACACGGCCTCCGCTTGGAGTTTCGGCGGCCACACATGCTTCGCAGCAGCAGCGACGCATCACCATCAAGCACTTAGACACTGGACAGGATAGTGAGCAGTCATGTTCTCAGCGCTGTGAAGACTGCAAATATCTAACATATCTTTTAGACCGAGAACGTGTCGTCATTCTGGGATCGTATGATGTGCTCCAGCCTCTCATAAGCATCGCAAATACTGACGAAATGCAGTGGGTGGGCGGGATTCACAGCTGCACGCCAGCTCGACACGAAGAAATACCAGACAGTGATAGTATCGCCGAGATCATACTTCGCATTCACACCGTTACTTGCCTCAACAGCGGTTGGTACACTGGAGTTTCGGACGGCCCTAGAGCCGGTCAGAAGTCGGCGCACCAAAGTCGAGTTCATTCAAGGATGGGCCGACGATGTTGACTTCAAGAATAAAACTCTCACCGTGGAACAGGCAGTGGATGATCCAACTCAGGGATTGGCACTTATTCAAGATCGCCATGCAGGCGAGACGCAGGAGCAGAGGGCGCAAGAAAGGCAGTCAGATGTGGAGAAGGGCAAGATGTTCGATCTCAACTACGATAAGCTGATCGTCACGGTTGGTTGCTACAGCCAAACATTCGGGACGCCGGGTGTGAGAGAACACGCATTTTTCCTGAAGGACGTAGGTGATGCACGCAAGATCAGGAATCGGCTGCTGGGATGCTTTGAAGCCGCAGCTCTGCCGACCACACCCGAAGAGATGAAAAAACAACTGCTGAACTTCGCAGTCGTCGGAGGTGGTCCGACTGGAATCGAATTCAGTGCCGAACTGCACGATCTCATCAACGAAGACATGGCCAGGATCTATCCCGAGCTAATCAAGTATCACAAGATCACCGTTTACGATGTAGCCGAGAAAGTCTTGCCCATGTTCGACGAGAAATTAGCCGGCTACGCCATGGACAAATTCAAACGCGAAGGCATCGACATCAAGACCAAACACCACGTGGAAGAACTCAGCCGTGGTTCACCATTCGAGCGCAACAATCTGAACTCCGACAAAGACTTTCGCCTTTTCACGCTGAAGATCAAAGAGGAAGGCGAGCTTGGCGTAGGCATGTGCGTCTGGAGTACCGGCCTGATGCAAAATCCGTTCGTGCACCAAGCACTTAGCAACGTGCGCGCAGTTCCCGACAACCTGCGTCTCGTCGAATCAGCAGGCGACCCCAGCTTCGCCAAAGACATAGCGTGGAAAGTAAAAAAAGACGAGCGCTCAGGCTCCATCATCACCGACGACCGCCTCCGTCTCAAAGTCGTCCCGCAAGGCAAGAATGACAAACATGTCGCAGCTGTCGTGAATGATGTGTTCGTCCTCGGCGACTGCGGTATCATCGAGGGCACACGATACCCTGCGACGGCGCAGGTCGCGTCGCAGAAGGGGCTTTGGCTGGCGAAGCGCCTCAATAAGCACGACCTTGACCGAGCGGGCTTCAAGTTTAAGGACCTGGGTACGCTGGCGTATATCGGGAACTGGGATGCGTTGTTCCAGGGAGGTAAATGGGGAAGGCTGCAAGGGTACATTGCGTGGGCGATTTGGCGTGGCGCGTACCTAACAAGGACGGTCAGTTGGAGGAATAAGATTTTGGTGCCGGTCTATTGGTGAGTCAACAACAACAAGGTCGATGGAGCGTATACTAACATAGATGATAGGGCTGTCAACTGGCTATTCGGCCGCGACATCAGTCGTTTCTAGAGAGCGGAAACCGTGTGGATCACGTTGTAACGGGCGTTATAGACTGTAAGATATGGTCGATGTATTCGTACAAACGATTGGTGCTGGTAGAAAGTAGGGACGATGTAAGTACTACATCTCTTACTTGATGTATGGTGAGTAGAGGACTGTCCGATGGATGTGCTTTGGGACAGTCCCCCACTTCAGTTGTGCTAGAAGCGAGAATCCATTGCAATGTAGCTCGGCGCATTTGAGTGCGAGGCCACAGACAAGCACAGCGACACAGTCTTTGTCTAGATTGTACTATAGCTCGTGCGAGAAACTTGAAGTTGACGGCACAAAGAGCCCAATAAAGGATAAGAAGAATTCACCATCACTGATCATCGAAGATGGGTGTGAGTTGTTCGGCCGTCGTTGTGAAGTTGGTGCCATGCTCCAACGACTTCTCGAATCAACGCCGCAGCTGACATATCGATAAGGGCACGTGACACGCGGAACCGTTGTTGCACCTGCAGTCGGCGACGGCCCGCTTGTCTTCACAGCCCCGGTCGGTGATTCCTTCCTTCTCCACTCTCTCACCAGCACCTCACGCATACACGGCCACAACACTAGATATACACGCACACGCACTCCTCCCCCGTGACTTATAGACAGCCGACCATGTCATCGTCGGTGTTCTACAAGTTCAAAAACTCGAAAGAGCCGGAGCGCTATGCCTTCGATGGCAACGAAATCTCCGTGTTCGAGCTGAAGCGCGCCATTATCGAGGCCTCTGGCATGGCCAAGAGCACCGATCTCAACCTCCACATCTACCACGAAGACGAGCCGACCAAGGAGTACGACGACGACACAACCACAATCCCGCGCACAAGCACCGTCATTGCCGTGCGGCGGCCGGCGCAGCGCGGATTCAGCAAAATCGCACGCTACGTCTCTGGCAAGCCGCCAGTGCGAGCCATTAAGAAAGATGCCCCCACAGTCGTAGCGCCACGCCCTAATGGCGGCACCGAAACTGACGCAGAAGCCGCCTTCCTGGCGGAGTCAGCACAGGTCTGGGATGCGCAGAAGGAGTCGCTGTCACACGCAAAGCCTGTATATAACAAGAAGAAGCCCGTCAATGTCCCCAACTACGATCCTCCATCCGGCTACGTGTGTCGGCGGTGTGGCGTGAAGGGCCACTGGATTCAGCAATGTCCCGAGAACGACAACCCCGACTTCAAGCCCGTCCACTGCCCAAAGCGCACGACGGGTATTCCCAAGTCTTTCCTCAAGGTGGTCGACAAGTCTGAGGTGGATGAGGACGCCAAGGGGGTCATGTTGAATGCCGACGGTGAATATGTACAGGTCATGACAGACACAAAGACCTGGGAGAAGTTCCAGGAGAAGACGCAAGCCACAAAGGTGCAGGCCGCCAACGCAGATGCAACAAGCAAGGAGGTGCGCGAGCGAGGGCTTGAGTGCCCGCTGGACAACAGGATGTTTGTGCAGCCTGTCAAGACGGCGTGCTGTGAGAAGACCTACTGCAACGATTGTATTGAGTCCTCGCTAGCAGACAATGATCTTATTTGCCCTAATTGCGGGGAGGAGACTCTGATCGAATTCACACCTGACAAGGAAATGGAGGCCCGCATTCGCGACTTCGAGGCCGAAAAGGCAAAGGAAAAGGCAGAGGCAAAGGCAGAGAAGGAAGCGCAGGCAAAGGCAGAAGTGGAGGCAGCAGAAGCAGCAGCGAAAGCAGCGCAAGCACCTACTGAATCGGACAATGCGAGTGCTACCCATGTACCACCAAATGACAAAGAAACTTCTGTTGATGCGTCCGAGAAGCAAAAGTCGGAAGAGCCAACGTCTGACGCTGAAAGCAAGAAGCGGAAATCACCACCCACAGAGATTCAACCTCCAACCGCACCAAAGGCAATGCGGCAGCAACAGCAACCGCCCCAGAACACAGTAGAGCAGGATTTCATCGCGCAGATGGAGGCGCTCAAGAACATGCCCATGGGCATGCCCGCCATGAACATGAACATGAACATGATGGGCAACGGCAACGGCAACGGCAACGGCATGATGATGCCCGGCGTCAACGGCTTCAATCCCATGATGGGCATGAACGGCTTCAACCCGCAGACACAGATGCAGATGCAGCAGATGCAAAACATGCAGATGCAGAACATGCAGATGCAAAACATGCACAACATGCCCATGATGGGCATGCACGGCTTCCACCCGGCCGCCATGCACGGCAACGCTGGTGCTGGTGCTGGTGCTGCTGCCAACGCCTTCGCCTCGCCCGCCGCCCAGCACCTCCACTCGAATTCCCAGTTCAACGACGCGTATGACCGCCAGCCCGTCAATCCGAATCGCCAGCGCGGCAGGAAGCCCCGCGCCCCGGATTATCGGTACCTATAGGCAGGAGGAGGAGGAGGTCGTGGTCGTGCGTTCTTTTCAAAGCATAGGACTGGCGTTACAGGCGGGTTTGTGCCTGATCTCTTCTGGGTTGGGTTGGGTTGTTGGCTGGGCCCGTCATGCGTGGTGAGTGTGCGGCGCCTCGCGGCCGAGGACATGTATCAATCAATCAATCAATCAATCAATCAATCAATCAATCAATCAATCAATCAATCAATCAATCAATCAATCAATCAATCAATCAATCAATCAATCA